CTAAAAAGCGAGCTCGTGACCTGGAAAAAGCTCTCAAGACTATTGAGGCTGACATCAAGAAGTCCCGAGAAGAACTGGAGACATCTAAGGCTGAGGTCAAGGAAGTTAAGCTCGAGCTTCTCCAGTCCCAGAGGAGCTTTGGCGAAGAGCTCGCAAAGGCTCGTGACGAGGCTCAAGCTCAGGCTGTTGAAGACTTCAAGAAGTCCGACGAGTTTGGGACCCTGTTGGGACAGTACGGGTCGGGCTCTTACCATTACGAGCTTCGCCTTGCCCGTTGTTATCTTCACACGAAGATGCCTGAGGATTTAAAGTCCCTCGTCAAGGACTTGAAGACAGTGAACGAGCTCGCAGGGGAGCTCAAACTTTCGGCTTCTGAGGTCAAGGACGATGGTGAAGATGATGATGATGGTGATGGAGATGACGCTGGGACTGGCGATCAAGGGGATGATGTCAGGGTTGTAGATATCGATTAGGTTTTTAACTTTGTTTTAAAAAATTTTGTAATATTGCCCGAACTGGGCTGATACTTTTGCTATTAATTTCATCGACCAATGTTCGCGCACTTTACTCTATTTTCAATTTAATGATGAATGTTCGTGCACACTACTTTGTTTTTAATTTAATTGATGAATGTTCGTGCACACTACGTTTTTAATTTAATTGACGAATGTTCGTGTACATGTGTTCTGTTTGTTTTCAATGCACAACACAAACACAACGCTTTTGGACTTGATCAACGCTTCGGTGCTGAACATCAAGCATGCACGAGCTCGATCCTTGATGTTGTCATTGGGCCCGTAGGTCGAACCAGATGATGAGTTCGAGCTTTTTAGTTGCTATAACTTGGGCCTTTTTTAGCTCGGGGTCTTTTGTCAGGCACGGGGCTCAATTCGATCAACACTTTGACCTTAAACACCAGGCATGTCTTAGCTCGATTCTTGATATAGTCCTTGATGTCGAACTTAGGGGCCTGAAAGTCAGTTCAGATGATGAGTTCAAGGTCGTGTTTGATTTTTATCATGTGAACAGGCCCGACCCCGAACTTATCCGTTATTGATTTTAGATGCAAAGTAGTTCGGGGTTCATGACCTCGAGTTGTATTATGCTGTATGCCCGCATGTCATTATGCTAGAGTTTAGTTGCATGCCCGTAGCACGTCATTACACTAATGTTAAAGTGGTTGCAGGCCCGAAGCACGTCGTTATGCCAAAGTTATTAGTTGCATGCCCGTAGCACGTCATTACACTAATGTTAAAGTGGCTGCATGCCTGAAGCACGTCATTATGCCAAAGTTATTAGTTGCATGTCCGTAGCACGTCATTATGCTAATGTTAAAGTGGCTGCATGCCCGAAGCACGTCGTTACGCCAAAGTTATTAGTTGCATGTCCGTAGCACGTCATTATGCTAATGTTAAAGTGGCTGCATGCCCGAAGCACGTCGTTATGCCAAAGTTATTAGTTGCATGTCCGTAGCACGTCATTATGCTAATGTTAAAGTGGATGCATGCCCGAAGCACGTCGTTATGCCAAAGTTTAAGTAGTGCTAGGAAAAGAAAACTTTGAATATTATTAGGTGCTCAAGGGTACTTAGCCCGAGCTACTTGAAAGCAAAAAATGCTCAAGGGTTCATAGCCCCGAGCTACTTGAAAGGAAAAAATGCTCAAGGGTTCATAGACCCGAGCTACTAAAAATGAAAATAAGGCGGGCGTGCAAGCCCTTTTATGACGCTATTGCTATTCTACTTGTAATATATTTTTAGGTTATCCACATTCCAAGGCCTCGGGAGTGGATTTCCTGAAGTATCTCTAAGGTTGTATGCTCCTCCTTTGATCCTTCGTATGACTTCGAATGGCCCTTCTCATACCGGTCCAAATTTACCTAGAGGGTGTCTAGCAGCCTCTGCTCTTCTTAGAACCAAATCGCCACTCTTAAATTCTCGGGACTTGACTTTGGTGTTGAAATACTTTGTCGTTTTATTTTGGTAACTAGCAGCTCTCAGTGAAGCTTGCTCTCTTACTTCTTCAAGCAAGTCAAGATGTTCGGCTGTTCGATCTTCCATGCCGGGTTCAACCCTCCTTAAAGTGGGGAGACTGACTTCGATGGGGATAGTGGCCTCTAAGCCAAAAGCTAACATGAAAGGAGTCTCGCCTGTTGCTGTTTTATGAGAAGTTCTATATGCCCACAGTATAGAGGGCAACCCATCGGGCCAGTCACCTCTTGCGTTTTCTATCCTGGTGTGAAGGTCCTGAAGTATGATTCTATTTGTCACCTCAATGAGGCCATTGCTTTGAGGGTGCGATACTGACGTCAGACGATGGTCGATACCGAGATTGACACAGAATTTTCTGAATTGTGAATTGTCGAACTGCCTTCCATTGTCTGTTATAAGTACTTTGGGTATTCCAAACCTACATATAATAGACTTCCATATAAATGATCTGAGCTTGGCCTCTGATATTTTTGCTAGGGGTTCGGCTTCTACCCACTTTGTGAAGTACTCAACTGCTACCACAGCAAATTTTAATTGTCCTCGGGCCATGGGGAAAGGACCAATGATGTCAACTCCCCATTGTTCAAATGGTGCTGAATAATGGATAGAAGTCAACTCTTCTGCAGGGGCATGTAGAGCATGACCAAACCTCTGACATTTGACGCATCTTTTGACATATTCAGCTGCATCTTTTTTTTATAGTTGGCCAGTAGTACCCATACCTTATTAATTTGTAGGCAAGGGCCCTAGCTCCCTGGTGATTTCTGCATACCCCCTCGTGAACCTCAGTCTGGGCTTGGAGAGACTCGAAAGGCTTGAGGCATCTCAGATAGGGGAGCGTGAGACTTCGTCGAAACAGCACCCCTCTGATAATGCAATACCTAGCAGCTTGGGCTCGAATACTTCTTGCAGCGCGAGGGTCAGAAGATAGGTCTCCATTACTTATATACTTAACTATTGGATCAATCCATGAGGGCTCATGGTCAATGTCCATGATGCTCGGCTTCATGTTTATGCTAGGCTCTGTGACAATCTTGATGTTCACTGTTCTGTCGAGTCCATCTATCCTCATGAAAACAAGTATGGATAGTGCGTCAGCTTTGGAGTTATCTGCTCTTGCTATTTTCAATATTTCACAAGTTGTGAACTGTCTTTGAAGGTTATGCACTTTTAGACAGTACGAGCTCATCTTTTCATCTTTTCTTTCAAAGGATCCTTCAATCTATCCAATAACGAGCTGTGAGTCGCTGAAGACTCTGATGTGCTCTAATTCTAAATTCCTGGCAAGTTTGAGAGCAATGACCACAGCTTCATATTCCGCTTCGTTTTTGGTTGCTTCAAACTCAAACCTAAGCGCACATTGAACTTCAGTGGTCTTGTCCGGGCTGATGATGATTATCCTGGCCCCCGAGCCCTAGCTATTCGACGCCCCATCGACAAATATCTCCCAGGTTTTTGAGGTCGTGCTCGAGTTTTTTACTTATGGCCTTTCTGTCTTTGGAGTGAGTTCAGCTATGAAGTCGGCCAGTGCTTGCGCTTTGATGGAAGGTCGATGCTTGAATTCTATGTCGAACTCACCAAGCTCGATCGCCCATTTTAATAGCCTTCCTGAAACATCTGGCCTCTGAAGTATGTGCTTAAGTGGTTGATTGGTGAGAACTATTATGGGGTGAGATTGGAAATATTGCCACAACTTTCTAGCAGTTACTATCAAGGCAAGAGCTAACTGTTCCGCAAGGTTATACCGAGTTTCGGTGTCAAGAAGTACTTTACTAACATAGTAGATGTGTTGTTGCACCCTTCCTTTTTCCTTTACTAGTACCCCACTTACGGCATTTTGAGAAACAGCCAAGTAAAGGAACAAAGTATCACCAGGCTCTGGTTTGGCAAGAACCGGAGGTACAACTAAAGTTTGCTTAAGTTGTTGGAAGACTTAGATCGCATTCGTCATTCCATTCAAAACTTTTGTGGCCTCTTAGAACTTTGAAAAAGGGAAAACATCTATCTGTTGCCCGAGAGACAAATCTGTTCAATGCTGCTACCCGACCTATAAGCTTTTGGATGTCCTTTTTGCTCTTTGGGGCTTCCATAGATATTAGGGCTTGAATCTTGTCAGGGTTGGCTTCTATTCCTCTATTTGTGATCATGAAACCTATAAACTTTCTTGATGCTACCCCAAAGGCACATTTTGTTGGTTTGAGCTTCATGTTGTATTTTCGTAGCGTGGAAAACACTTCTTCAAGATCGGTGATATGATCATCCACATGTTTACTTTTGACCACCATGTCATCTACATAAGCCTCAATGGTTTTCCCAATTAAATCAGCAAAGACCTTGTTGATTAGCCTATGATATGTAGCCCCTGCGTTCTTTAAGCCGAATGGTATGGCCTTATAACAATAGATGGCGGAATCTGCCATGAATGAAGTCTTCTCTTGATCTTCTGTGACCATTGGTATTTGGTGGTACCTTGACAATGCGTCCAAAAAGATGTACAATTTGTGACCCGAAGTGCTGTCAACGAGACTGTCAATCCGGGAGAGGGGATAGCTATCTCTTTGATCAAATCAGTGAAGTCAATGCAAACTCGCCACTTTCCATTGGCCTTTTTTTTGAGAACTACATTGGTGAGCTAGTCAGGACATTGTACTTCTCGGATGAATTGTGCATTGAGCAGCTTGGCAATCTCTTCTCGTATGACTTAGTGCCGTTCAGGTGCAAACTGTCTTTTCCTTTGTTTGACAGGTTTGGCTCCTGGGTTTACATTGAGCCGGTGTACGGCAACCTCGGGGTCAATTCCGGGCATGTCTTCAACTGTCCATGCGAATACATCTTGGTTCTGGGAGAGACAACTTATGAGTTTAGCCATGATGGTTGAATCAAGGTCACGCCCTACTGTCACCTTCCTACCAAGCACGAGCTAGACCTCAACCAGCTCCTCTACCAGGGCGAGTCTCCCACGATTTTCAAGCTCAAGCTCTGAAAGCTGCATGACTTCGCCCTTTATTTTTCAAACACTAGTCACATAACACTGGCAAGCCATGGTTTGGCTTCCTCGGACGACTCCAACTCCACTATATGTGGGGAACTTCATCGCCAGGTGAAAAGTTGAGATAACAGCTCTGATTTTATTTAGCAACGATCTTTCCAGAATGGCGTAGTAAGCCATCGGAGTTCGGACAACTTCGAAAGTTACGATATGGGTTACCTGCCGACCTTCAGATCCCAAAGTCATGGGTAATTCAACAATACCTTCAGGGGTGATGACCCCGCCACCAAATCCTTGGAGGGGTGTTTTAACAGGCTTGAGTTGTTCCACTAAGATACCCATCTGAACTAAAGCTTCATAAGACAGTACATTAGCTGCACTTCCATTATCCACAAGAATTCTCTTGACCTCGAAGTTAGCTATGATGGCTGATATGACTAGGGCGTCATCATGGGGGAAGGATATTCCTTCCAAATCCTTGGACCCGAAGGTGATATCTTCCGTATGAGCAAGATCCGTGTTGGAAGAGACTGGAAGCTGTTTGGCATACTTCTTACGTCCATTGTTGGTGTCTCTTCCTGAAGCTGTTCATCCGATAATAACGTTAATAGTGCCAGCTGTTGGTGGTTCACTACCACGCCCTTCATATATGTTATTCTACTTGTTCCTCAGGCGTTTTTCATGGCTAGTGTAAGAGCCCAAAAAACCCCTCCTGATGAGGGCCTCAATTTGTTGCTTCAGAGCCAAACACCCCTCAGTGGTATGTCCGTGGTCCCCGTGGAAGTCACAGTACTTGATTCTGTCTCTGCTTTCAGGTAATGATCGCATTCTGGGAGGCCACTTAAGCTCTTTGAGGTCCTTGATCTCCATCAGGATGTTGGACCTTGATGTATTCAGGGGAGTAAAAGTTTTCGGTCGGGGGATTTGTCTTTGCTTGACCCGAGGATTGTCGTCTCGTTGATTGGGTTCACGCGGTCTCTTATTGTCTGGCCTTAGTAAAGGTGAAATGTCCTTTCTTGGGGTTAGAGTTTCTTCCATATTGATGTATTTCTCAGCTCGAGTTAGGAGGTCAGTTACTGACTTTGGGGGGGGTTTTGACAAAGACATCTTGAATGCTTCGCATCTTATAGCGTATATCAAAAGCTGAGACCACAACTGTAATATGTAGATCGGGAATCTGAAGTCTTTTTTTATTGAATATGGTCATGAAATTGCGTAATGTTTCATTAGGTCCCTGGCGCATCTGCATAAGTGATGCTGCTGTTTTCCTAATTCGCTTGCTGCTTGCGAAGAAAGCGGAGAATTTATCGGCCAAGTTTGTGAATGAGGCGATAGAGTTTGGCTCTAATGTGGAGAACCAATCTCTAGCTGCGCTTGTAAGAGTTTGAGGGAAGGCCTTGCACATTACAGCGTCAGGTGCGACCTGTAGGTTCATGATATCGATATATATATTGAGGTGGTTGATAGGGTCAGTGGTTCCATCATATTCCTTTATCCTAGGGTACTTGAACCTATCCGGGAGGGGATAGGACAGTACTTCAGGAGTAAAGGGAGTGCTAGGGGTAAAGCCTATTGTCCCCTTTGATTTCTGTACTAGGCCCGTGGCAATACCTTCTTGGATGATTCTGGCAAGCTCCCCTGACTCTATCATTACTGCCCTTGATGCTGCGGTCATAGGAGGTACACCCGAGGTTCCAACACCATTATCAGGGATGTTTCGTGGAGCTCGAGCTTGAGCAGCTGCCATAAGATCGCCATCCGATGTTGGTGTATGCGATGGGTGTGAGTTTCTTTGGCTTAATAACTGAGTCAATGTGGTAACTTGTTGGCGGAGCTCTTCAAAAGCTCCGGTGGTAATGACAGCTGGTGGCGGTATTGCCATCTCTGATGATTCCTCTTGAGGGACAGGATGATCTCCAGGGGGAGGATTTGGAGCAGATGAGCTTGCTGGTGGAAGACCTGATCGTGTATTCACCATGGCTTTTGGTAGCGCTTCCCACAGACACGTCAATGATGCTACCAAAAAATATCACCTAAAAGATCTCGAGCTTGATGGTCCAACTTCACTTTGATGAACACAATCGGTCTGTGAATACCAGCAACAAAGGCAACGAGGTGTGCGCTCGTCGCCCCTCCGATGCTTAAGTCAAATAGGGAATTTAGTGCGTGAGGCTATAAACTGAAGATAATGAAAACGTACCTTAATGTTGAGCCTTGGCCAAGTATTTATAGGTGTTGGTGGGGGAGCTGTAGAAGGATTCTATTATTGAAAGAGTCCTTTTCCCATTAGGATTAGGTGTTGGAATTTGATTAGAAGTATTCTGTTAGAGTTCTAATCAGGGGAGGAGTAGACTTAAGTGGGGTCTATTTTTTTTTATTTTTTTTTTTGGAGATTAAGTCGGTGGGCAGGGTCGGATTAGAGATAACCCCCGACCTCAAACCGGCGTAACACACTAAGATCAACTCGGGGGTATTAGGTCGAGGTCAAGCATGGCACTTGAATTCAAGTATAGTTCGGGGTTACCAATTCGGAATCATCAATTACCTATGGAAAATTGATATTATCCAATTAAAACTAATCCCGTGTAATAAATTAAACTTATTTTTAAGCCAAGAAAAAAAAAGGAAAATTCATTATCAGAAGTCAGAACCTGTTCAAAAGTCTCTGATTAATGTTGGAAAAGAAAATTTGGTAAAAGGACAGCGTGTTAAGCGTGCGGTTTCTTTGCAGATTTTTTTGACTGACCTAAAATGGCGCCACTTAACGCATTACGATTAGTAGGTCAACTTCACTCAACTTCTGATATATATATATATATATATGCAATTTATGCACGTACCTAGATATACTTATTTTATTTTTCTTTTGATACGGTTAAAATTTGTTGTCCAATTTTACTATCTATTAATTAAATTTTTGACGCATCATTAATTTAGTAGGTTAGTGGTGAAATTAATGAGAGTAAATTAGTTTCGTGTTTGTCACGGGTGGAGTTGGCATAAGCATGTCCTATAAGATTTTATATTTCATATTATTAGTATAAAATAGCAAGTGTACGATTCCGACTAAGAAAATAACAAAGAGATATAAAGAGCTAGATTATCGTCTCACGACTACTTTATTTAATATCAATTTAAATAACCCTATTCTTTATTTTACAAAAATAAAAAATAAGGCAAAATTTTGATTTAAAACTAATATTGACTACAAAATGTAAAAGCAATTAAATGAAATTATCTTTTGATTGTAACCACCTCTACTTAAACAATTAGATACGATTGTTAAAGTTTAGAACTCATGATTTTCATCGTAATTATCACATTTATTCTCGCCTCTCGAGTTATTCTATAGTTGTGCTCGCACTAATTAAATCAATTTAGCTTTTTTTAATTCAAATTAATCACATCTAGTTGAGTCTATTCATTATATATCTATACAAATTTGAAAAAGTCCCAACTAAACGCATTAGATTAGACTAGAAATTTAATTAAAGACCACAATAATATATATATATATATATATATCTTATCCTGTTTATCCAGTTGTGAACTTTACTGCATGGCCTAAATCTCAATTTGATACAACCCACCAATCATGAATTAGTGTTTACATAATTCAAGTATTAAGAAAACAAGTAAAATTAATACTTAAATCAATTAAATACACAAATCTTGAGAATTGAAATAAAAGGTTTAAATCTAGATTATATCGTCCGTCTCAACAAATGATTTAGCCCCAGTTTGGCTCATATTCTCATTCTTTTTCTCTTTCTTATTTTTAACCACACAATCTTTCATAAAATAATATAATACGCAAATCAAAAAAATTTCATTCTTTTTCAACCACATATTTTTTTTAAAAATATTATTCCAAACATTAAAATTTGAGTAGAATGGAGGCCAAACGAGGGCTTAATTACATATTATAGGAGAAGAAAATTACATAAAGAAATTGGAATGCATTGTAGATTTTAAAGGAAAAACGAGAAAAATGAGCATCTTGCACTAAGAATCCGCTTTAAGAATTCGCTTTCTTCAAGTCAAAGTCTTGAAACCCTAAAACTCCGGTCTTGATTCTCTTGTATATTCCTCTATTTTGGTACATCTATTGAAGATGCCCTGACGTCCACTGCAATCACGGCCCATGCAATTTTTATCTTGGTACACTTTGGTCTCGGTTTCACGTTTCTTCTACGCTTTTGGTCCTTAATCTTCAATATTGAGCCCCACAACTTCGAAAATCATCCATGTTGGTTTCCGAGCTTCCATAATTATCTATGATTGGTCATCCTCAAGTTCTGCAAGTATGCAAAATAGTCCCTAAACTTCCTAAAAGTTAATTTTCACTCATGAAATTTGTGAATTTCATCCAATTAAGCTCCAAATCTTTCGAGTACGTCCAAAGTCTTGATTTTGCTTTGAAGATAATATTTAAACTAAATCAAGTAAAAAAATTGCTCAATTTGCAAATATATATCAAGTTTAGAAGAATGAATAAGCTTGTAAAACATATTTATCGCATGTACTGATTTGGAAATGTCCAAGATTATTAATGATCATATTTTTTTATTCATGTCTTCTATTTTTCTAAAAATAAAAAAGTAAAAATATTTATATAATAAATTTTTAAGGGTAATTAGTACAAAACGTCCCTACCTTTCAATGTTTTTTTGTGGAAAACGTCCATGCCTTTCGCTTTTTGGCGGATTACACCCTCACTTTTACCTTTTTTACGCAAAACGTCCTTCTGTCAACTCTCCGTTAAAATGTTCAGTTAAATCAAAAGGTAATTAGCACAAAAGGTCCTTACCTTTCAATATTATTGTGCAAAACGTCCTTACCTTTCATTTTTTGGCATAATTAGCACAAAAGGTCCCTACCTTTCAATGTTATTGTCCAAGACGTCTCTACCTTTCATATTTTAGCATTTTCACCCCTACTTTTCACTTTTCATTGCGAAAAAGGTCATTCTTATCCATTTTTTCAATAAAATGACGATTTTACCCTCCTATTCAAATAAAACAAAAAGAAAAGATGAATAACCAACTGCAACCATAGTCCTTAAATTTTAAAAAATTACAAAGAAATCATAAATTCCCAACCACCACCACTTTCACAACCTATCAAGCTGTCAACTATAAATCAATATAATACCACCTTTTTGCCACCATTCCCACCAGACTGTGCCACAGTAAATGTGGTTGTTTTGGATAGATTGGTGACCAATACTATGGAAGAGGATATTGGGAAGAGTGAGGTGAGGCTGGTGGTGGTGGAGTCCGATAGATGTTGTGGCCGAAATGTAGTACTATATGAATCTATAGGTGGTGGCTTGGTAGGGTTATGAAAGTGACAGTAGTGGAAAGTTTAGAATTTATCTGTAATGTTTTGAAAGATTTAGGACTATGGTTACAATTAATTATTTATTTTCCTTTTTTTTCTTTTTGTTTTATTTGAATAGGAGGGTAAAATCGTCATTTTATTGAAAAAAATGGATGAGAATGACCTTTTTCGCAATGAAAAGTGAAAGGTAGGGGTGAAAATGCTAAAAAATGAAAGGTGGGGACGTTTTGCACAATAACATTGAAAGGTATGACCTTTTGTGCTAATTATGCCAAAAAATGAAAGGTATGGACGTTTTGCACAATAATATTGAAAGGTATGGACCTTTTGTGTTAATTACCTTTTGATTTAACGGAACATTTTAACGGGGAGTTGATAGAATGACGTTTTACACAAAAAAATGTAAAGGTGAGGGTGTAATCTGTCAAAAAATGAAATATATGGATGTTTTTCACAAAAATATCAAAAAATAGGGACGTTTTGTGCTAATTACCCAATTTTTAATTTTGTAGTTAATAATTATTGATGCAAGTGGAGTTATCTCATTGTCCACTTTTATTCTGCGTGGGAGACAGGTGTCAGGTTGTTCCCTTTTATTTTGACTAAAAAGACCTTCCATTTTTCAAATTTACACGCTCAACTGCTCAAGTGATGACGTGGATTTTGACTGATAACATACTCATCTTTCACTGATT